GATATGTTACTAAAAATAGCACGCTTTAAAATATCGAAACATTCTTCGTAAAATCGGATATAATGACACTTTGCCTGAAAAACATTCATGTTTCTTGTTATGATAACGATGCTTCTTGACGACGAATCTCATTTTGATATATTTTAATTGAATATTCGGCCAAAATAACCGAAAAAGTAGAAAAATCTTTGCAAACGGTAAACGCTTTTTTGTCAACCATTGAAGTATGGACTAAATTCCTTATAAACAGTTATATTATGGCACTTTCCGTTTTTAATATCGGTGTGTTTTATCATGATAACCTTGCTTTTTGATGAGGGATCTTATATGAATTTATTTTCTTTACATTTTTCACACATAAACTTGGTCAGAAGAATTTTTTGCGGACGTACATAATGCTTTTTAATCATAGAAAGTCAGGCTCCTAAGTCCCGCCCCCTTTTCAAAACTAGGTACGTTGTAATGCGCGAAAATTTAATGTAAAGCTCCGATCAATTCAATCACGCTAACATTGTGTATCAAATTGTGAGTAACTGTTACTCATAAATTGCACAATTAGTTTATTAATTGAACTGTATACACATGATATGACACGTAGGGCATTACTGAACCGATATACACAGTTGGTCATGATTCCTTACCCTTTGTAGATGCTAAACAACAAGTTTGGTGCAGTAAATGCATTTTAGATCAAATTTAGCATGCAAGTGTACAGTTTTACTTCTTAACAGGCATTTCGACACCCACACAGGTGATCAATCTATGACATGGTCTAATCTAGGATATACGACAGTAGTTAAGATATTTTAGATACTTTAGTACATTATTGTTTATTTGATGTTCTACACAAAAAGGATATTTAAACCATACATGAGTGTACTGTTAAGAGAACAAGTCATCCTGCTTAAATAATGCTTAACTTTATCTTAACACTTCATCCGAAACATTTCGAACATGACTTTGTTTTTACAATAATAGTGAAGTGAAACACCTGCAAGTGCTTTTTTGAAACTATGATTAATTTCCATAATAATTTTATGCCAATGGATTTCAACTCGTTTTTTGTCTTTCAAAAGCATTCTGATATGCCTAATTATAAACAGTATATCAGCATGAAAACTCAGTTTTTCTTATTATCGCCACATGACCCTTATTTTAGTAGTTCTAACACTTCCTTCGATACATTTGGTAAATTGCTTCACCTAAAAACACCTGCACGATGTGTGCCGTCTTGTATTTTTGTTGTTAAAAGTTGTTATAATAATTAAAAATTAGAAACTCCTTTGTTTTACCAGATGGATTTTATGATTATGTTAAACACCTTTTAGGTTTTAGTTTTAAGACTAATTGGATACAACAATGATGCGCGCACATGTATTTATGTAGGACATTTGTTTGTCCATAACTAATTGAAATTAATGTGTATAAGATATCAGATTTGGATAAATAGAATCTATCATTGGGTTTGATAGAGGATAGGGAAATCCCAACCCGAGGGTTATCGGTTCCATCGGGAACGAGCCTTATTTTTCTAACCCACATTGACACACAAATATCAGTGAATCTACTTGCTACGCGCATTACAACGTACCTAGTTTTGAAAAGGGGGCGGGGCTTAGGCGCCTGACTTTCTATGATTAAAAAGCATTATGTACGTCCGCAAAAAATTCTTCTGACCAAGTTTATGTGTGAAAAATGTAAATAAAATAAATCTATATAAGATCCCTCATCAAAAAGCAAGGTTATCATGATAGATCACATCGATATTAAAAACGGAAAGTGCCATAATATAACTGTTTATAAGGAATTTAGTCCATACTTCAATGGTTGACAAAAAAGCGTTTACCGTTTGCAAAGATTTTTCTACTTTTTCGGTTATTTTGGCCAAATATTCAATTAAAATATATCAAAATGAGATTCGTCGTCAAGAAGCATCGTCATCATAACAAGAAACATGAATGTTTTTCAGGCAAAGTGTCATAATATCCGATTTTACGAAGAATGTTTCGATATTTTAAAGCGTGCTATTTTTCGTAACAGATCGATATTGAAAAGGGCGGATCTAGGTAGAGTAGGACTCAATGCAGTGTGAAGGTTAATATCAATCTACTTTGATTCCGTAGACAATTCAATAGATTAGCTCACAATTTTTTAATACATTTTGACGTTTCATTTTTGTTAAAATAGGAGTGAATCGCGTATCATTTAGAAGTGCTGCACGTTGAGTGTGAGATAAGCCCATGTGAGATAAGATTTTCCAACAAGGCTATTTTTAGTAACATTTAAAGATTTTTCTATCTGGTTAGTGAGAAAAAATGTTCCAATTATGTCCTGTAAGAAAACAGTTTTCCTTTTATAAAACTATATAATTCACATGTTTGCATGTTTATAGAAGTAATCAAAATTATTTTAAGGTTCATTTAAATTGTCTTACTCTATCTAAATGACACTAATAAAAGTCCAAACATTTTACTAATTGGTCCATTGCAGCACCTGCGCTAAGTGTTTAACTTTAATTGCAATTAATGGGCGTAGAAATTGTAAAAGATGTCTAAAATGATAGCTGTGTAAAACTCATGTAAGGGACAATAACTGTTGCATTCATGTAAAGATAAACACAAATATTTGTCAGATTTCTATGCTTTACATGCTTGTATCCTCCGTAATAAAACTTATCAAGTAAATATCTTGTTTGTATGCCAGTGTTTTGTCAATACATGAAGATCAAACGATAAAGCACGTATAAAACATCGCATACAACTTAATTTTAGTCTATACAGATTAAATAAAAGCCCGACAATATTACATCATGGAATGAATAATGTTATATGCATACACTAATTGTAATATGATTTTTAACGGGATAGAGGTAACGTCGCAGGAAGTAGTGATAAAAACTGGCATTAAGAAAATAACATGTCAATGGAGTTATATGCTAACTATTCATAAGTTTTAAACCATGACTGCGACCTGTGGTGTACTGTTTATCAATTGACTAATAACTGTTACAATAAATAACAAAATATGTGCTAAAAGAACGTTATTTAATTTTAACGTTTGAACACATTATCATAATTGATCTATATTTTGTTTAATTTGCAAACCTTGGCATTTAAAATATTTGTAGTGAGGAAAAGTATATTTTAAATCTTATTGCTTATAAATTTTAGGCTTATAAACCTCAGTGGAGTTCCTTTAAAAAAAATATCTTCTGCTACAAAAATATTGTATTAATTTCGCTGAATTCATATTTTTTATTATATGAATTAGTTCATAGTTACCTCTAATCGCAAATCTAAATGTTTCATGATAACATTTTTGAATTTAAAACTGCATGTTAAATAGTTTGATGTCCCATGATATTTTTGCTGTGTATGAAAAGAAGCAGACATTGTTATGAACTGAGCCAAATGCACTCTTGACCTTGAGTGATTCATGCCATTTTCTTATCATTATAGTATTTTTTTCCACTTGAGACAATTACTTGAATAAGATTGTTCGTCCATTGTGTTATCATTCAGGGTAGAAATGCAGTCATTCCTATCGACCTTTTAACGAGGCGGTCCGTTGCTATGAACTATGTACCGGAAGTAGTATTTCCCCGCATATGCGCAAACTGTGTAGGGCAAAAAGCTTAGTATAGAAGAAGTTCCTAGACAATTCTGAGTAAGTTAAAGGTAAAAGGTAGAACATTCATTCGCCTAATTTGAATGTACAATCCGTTTACACATGTATATTAAGGCAGTCACCTTCTTACTTTAACGCTTGACCACATTTTACTTTAGGTTACTATCATAGCATATGCCTAACTAGCCTCAGTGACAAGCATTAAAGATTTTCACTTATAAATTTAAGATTGTAGGTTTACATTTCAAGGAAACGTTATTTTCTATATTTCTTTTTCTATTACCTCCTTTATAGCTTGAAGTTATAAATTATATAGATTTGGAAAACAAAACAAGAAATTAAACAAATTATTCATCGCCAATGTTGCTTATAATATATAAAATGATGAAAGAAATCTGAAAAAAAAAGTTTGTTAAGGAATTGAACTTGCAACTGTAAACATATTCGTATAACGCTCAATAACTTTCTATAGTTTTATTGTTAATTTCTAGCTTATATATCGACAATAAATTATCCGGAAAATGTATCGAACATTTTCGATTTATAGTCATTAAAAATGGGTTAAGTTTTAGAACACATACTAGTTCTTCCTTTGTGAATGTTTAATTATTTTTCAGTGAAGTATTATTTTTAAGTATAGTTTGGAAATAAGTTATAAGTAAGATAATATTTAAAGATTTAGCAAAGTTTTACTCTATGGTGAGATTCCCCTACACCCTAGTACCGATCTTATCATACTTGGCAAATTAATAGGTGTTATGCTTTTATAAATATTCGTTGTTTATTATTGCCAGACTTTTGAAAAAAAAGTGTTGGTAAGATTGCAGTACAAGGACTTTATTAACGTCATGTTAATTTGTCAAATACATCCGTCTGGTTGTTTTTTTTTTATTCTTTAATTACTTTTCGTTCACGTTTTTATTTATATACGCCTTTTAATAAACTTAAATAATTTCTAAGTTGGAGTCGTTATAGCATTAAATAAGCAGATATAAGTTTAATGCCAGGATTCCTCTAGGCCTAGGATAAGGGCTTAATCGAAAGTACAGAATCACAATCTATTGCATTGTATGATTATTGAAAAAAACCTGCCATAAATAGTTTGGGCGTTGTTTGTTCTCTTTTAAAATAGCTCAATGAAACAATATGGTTAACAATAAAAAGATTGGAAAAAGAATGCAGGAAGTCTCCATGTAAGACAGGTGTCGGTCAAGGAAGCACGCGGACATAAAATATAAAAGTCATAGAAAGGGAAGTTTAGGCAAACGACTTCCGTGTTCGTTCTTTTCTGTCATTTGCCTACCAATTAAATTACAAATTATAACAAGCTAAACTTAATCTATCCCATCTAATTAATATAATAAACGACTTACCTGCGTTCAAATAGCTGATAAAAATAAAGATGAAAAACCACTTCAAAGCCATGATTACTCGATATGATTGTTAAATTTCACACTCAATCCGACATATTACGTTAAACGAAAGTCTTCACCAAAGACGAATTAATCTGCAGAGTATCTTGTTGCGCCGCTCGATAAAATCCAAGTGAAAGACTAATATGACTCTTAATATCAACCATATGTAAATGCCATTTCCTTTTGAATTTGGCATTTCCTAGCAATTTATTATTCATTATTATGAATAAAATGCTCTTCCCATATTGAATAATCACATTCAGCAAATGAAAATAATTGGGTGCGTTTTATAATGTCATATCTTGTTGATATTTCAATTTTCAGTCTGCATCTAGGGGTGTCACGTTTATGTGTTTGAGCGGGTGCGGTCAATGTTTAGCAATTGGCAATTCATTTATACCAATAAAATGTTATATTTTGATGAAATATTATTTTTTTATATACAGCTGTGTATCTATGTCCAAATGTGGTAACAGAGATGCAAAAATATAAACCAGATAAGTTAGAGTCATGGTAACACTATTCTTTCTGTGTCTCATTGTGTTGATTTCATTACAAATGTCTCCATATATAGACCTTTTTACGACGCGGTCCGTTGCTATGAAAAATCGACCGGAAGTAGTATTTCCCCGCACATGCACAAACTGCGTAGGGCAAAAAATGCTAAGTATAGAAGAATGTTCTAGACAATTCCGAGTAAGTTTAAGGGAAAAGGTTAAAAATTATATAAAATGGCTTTAAAAAAAAATAGCGATGATTCCAAAAATTATATAAAATAGCTTTAAACAAAAATAGAAAAGATTCCTTTATAGCTTTGTTGCCAAGATTGCCATAAAACGCATGGAAAAGGAAATTGTTTAAGAATTCCCCCTTACGGTGGGCCCTCTTACGTTTACGGACCTGACATTAGGATCTTTTTAAGAAAATGTGGAATTATATCTTTTATTCAAATTGGAGTCAACTAAATTGTTGTTGAAATAGTTCATAAAAAAGATAAAAGAAATTTTATAACATGTAAAATCGAGATTAATCAGCATTCTGAAAATAGTCAGAACAGGCCCGGTGATAATGCATTTTTAATGTTCAGTTTTCCTGATTATATCATTTATTTGACTGCGATGTAAAACAGATATTTTTCAAGTCACATAAATATATTTTAAATGTTATTTTTTTTAATCTTTAAGGAAAGTGAAATAACACTCATTTTTATCCGATTCCTATTAACACCTGTTAATACTTTTTAATTGCAAGACAAACTTCACAAATCAATCTGTTTGACACTTACCGCCTGGCAAATCTAAAGCAAGTGCACAATGCTAATAATAATTATTATTAGTAGTAGTAGTAGTACTAGTATTACTATAATTATTAGTATTAGTATTAGTAGTAGTAGTAGTAGTAGTAGTAGTAGTAGTAGTAGTAGTAGTAGTAGTAGTAGTAGTAGTAGCAGTAGCAAGAGGAGCAGCAGTAGTAGTCGTAGTACTGAAGTAGTAGTAGTAGTTGAAGTAATGGTGTGGTAGTAGTAGTAGTGGTAGAAGAAGTGGTGGTATTGGTGGTGATGGTATTGGTAGTGGTGGTGGTGTTGGTTGTGGTGGTGGTAATTCTAGTAGTGGGAGTAGTAGGAGTTTTAGAAGAAGTAGTAACAGTAGTAGTAGTAGTAGTAGTAGTAGTAGTTGTTGTATTTGTATTAGTAGTAGTAGTAGTAGTGGTAGTAGTAGTAGTAGTAGTAGTAGTAGTAGTAGTAGTAGTACTAGTAGTAGTAGTAGTGGTAGTGGTGGTGGTAGTGGTGGTGGTAGTGGTGGTGGTGGCGGCAGCGGTAGTGGTAGTAGTGGTAGTAGTGGTAGTAGTAGTAGTAGCATCAGCAGCAACAGCAGCAGTAGTAGCAGAAGTAGTAGTAGTAAACATTATGATAACTTTTAACTGGCGAGTCTTAAAACTATTTGCTTAATATTTTGTTTACTTTATACTATTTGTTACAATTTTGATTTATCTTAAGTGTGCATTATTAGATGAGTGTGCACAGTGATTAAACATGAATGTTATACCATATATTTTCAAAACATCAAACGATTTCACTTGAAAAACATAAATCCTAATATGACATATATGCGTAATATCATGAAAATGAAGTCATACAGCTTAACGTTTTAAGAAAGGTATATAAATACGTCAGAGATGACACTATAAAATACCTACCATTGTTGTTCTTCTGGTTTGTTGTAATCTTTATGATAGTAACTCTTACAGCTTAACGGTTTTTTAATACTATTTGTTTACGTTGTTCACACATTCCATTTCGTGATAACATTTATGTCAAAGCGATGGTTTCTCATTCCACACAATAACATTTCTTGGTGCGCATTTTAAATACTCTGTATTTAATGACATTGTATAAAATTTGAAAAGTCAAAAACAGACATCATTTGTTTTTTTCCAATTTATAAATCTTTTTATCAGGTTTTATTTTAGAGATACCAATGCAAAAACGTATTTTCCCACAAAGGTTAAAAAATATTTTCCATGATAGTAATAAATGACCATGCAAGAAATGTACTTTGATAATGCTTTATTACGGAGATATCGGTTCAGTGTATCTTTATTTGTTGAAATAATTATAGTTGGCACACACATATATAAGATGAAAATTAGATAACAGTGATTACAGGAAAAGCATGTGCACAGAGTACAAAATTATACAGGCGCTGAACATTTGCCTGCAGTTGTGAGCAAATAATTACAATATCGTTTAAATTAAAATATAAAAATAGCTCATGGCAAATTGTCTAGTAGGAAAGATGGAAATTTTGGTGCTGCTGTATCCTTTAAATATCCAAAATCTAGAACAGTCAATAAAATTAATCAAAACGAAGAAAAGGGGCATTGTTTGAGCAATACAAAGAGAAGTAAAATTTGCATTGTGTTTGAATATCAGCCGTGGCTTTTTGTATATTATATAAATAAATGTATAAGCAAATAATTGGATTGATTACCAAAATGTTTTGTTGGTTGAGTTCAAACAAAACTGAGCATCGCGAATGTCTCAGTAAGAATTTAAAATTGAATTAAATATAATCATATAGTTTCCATTACTTTCAACAGTCTACGAACGCGTATTATTGACCGAAACAAATTGCATTGAAACAAACATTTTCACTAAGCTACTCAAACTTGATACTTTCACTTGCAGATTTGTTAATGTTATACACATTTCAATAAGATTTGGAACAATGACTGTTTGATGTTAAATACGTATATGTTATGTACTGTGTATGGTTATGAATGAAATATCTTTAAACTAAATATGTTCATTACATTCAATGCAACAAGTTACGTAAAATAAAGGCAAAAAATGAAACCTGTCGCATCAGTTGCAATTGTTTCCAGATGAGATGGTATATAGAGGTTAATTATTTCTCTAATGTACATACCTTTCTGACTGAATTGCTTTTGCTAAAACTTATTTTGGTATAATTGGTTATTGTCTGTCTATGTACTGACACGGACTATAATGATGCGTTGCATCATATGCGAAAAGGTAGGTGTAAATTTCTGCAGAATTAGTTCACATTTTGCAACCTACGCGAAAGTAATTGTGACGAACATTCATACATACAAATGAGCCGCGTCATGACAAAACCAACATAGTGCGTTGGCGACCAGCATGGATCCAGATCAGCCTGTGCATCCGCGCAGTCTGATCAGGACCCATGCTGTTTGCTTACCAACTCTATTATAAGTAGAGAAATTGATAGCGAACAGCATGTTTCCTGATCAGACTGCGCGGATGCGCAGGATGGTCTGGATCCATGCTGGTCGCCAACCCATTATGTTGGTTTTGTCGTGACGCGGCTCAAATCATTAAAAACGTTTTATTATATGATTGTGTAGATAAGTTGTAATCAAGTTTGTCCAAAAAATAGAGAGTACGATGTTAACCAAAGGTATTCGAAATATTTTTCAATTTAAAATATACCTTGATTTAATGTAAGGACTCAAAAATAGATTTAATTTAACAAGCACTAAGCATGTAAACTTGCTCTTCTCATATAGTTTACAAATTAATAATTAGACTGCGGAACCACGTGACTTCTGCGCAGTGGAAATGTTTTTACAATAGCAACGATTCAGAGGAGTACGCCAAGGTAGCATCATGTCGCTACCCTTGTATATTACATTAAATGTATAAAATTATACAATACCTGCTTCTTTTAGAATGTAAGTGTACAAAGAGATAATAATTTAGATTGTTAAAAGCTTAATTTGTTGATACATTATTTTTTTCAATAATCTGATATGCATGTAGTTAATGTCCTGTTTGTGTAGGTTTTATGATATACCTTTCATGTATGTTTAAAGTCTTATTTACCAATATTAAAAACTGTACTTTCTCTGAGTACTGGATGGAATCCATATTGTTTGTGTTTAAAACGGAAGAAATGATGAACTAAAATGCCAACTTCTTATCTATATCTTTTCCTATTTGTGTCTCCGCAGTACGTTTTTTGTGTATTTTGCATTATGTTTTATATGTTATATTTTGCGCTTATATTGCACTAAGAAACATGCTTAAAAAGAATCAAATATGGATTAAATTTTATGCATCAAAATACAGTTGCATAAAATTATCATATATTGCATTAAGTAAGGAATTTAGAAATTTGCTATCTATCCGAGAATACTCTGTGCAGTTTTGATCTTTCTAGATTCCCTAATTTGTTTTGTTTTTTATCTTTGCCACTATATTATTACGTTCGCGCATTGTTCTTGTTTCCCTTGTAAATAACACAAACACACAATCCTGCATATTTATAACATAAATAAAATTTGCGAACAAATGGTATCATATCATAAATGTTCTCCCTAAAATGCACGTTAATCACGAAGCGCTAGTACGATTCAACACGATATTAAAGAAACGAAGGGACTAAAAACGGTATTTTGGACATCCGAAACGTTCATCATGCGGATACTTGAATATATTGGTAAGGTATTGCACTTAACAGTTTGAATACGTTAGTTGAGTTAGATACTCAATTGGTGTTGTGTAGCCTCTGAAGGTTTGAAAATGTATATTGTTTTCAGGATTAACGGTCTTTAATATTGAGTAAAACCGACCACAGTCACAAAACAACTCATATGTATGCTTCTTTTATTCATAAACAATATGTTAAATCTGAAAATGTCATGATAACTTAAGTCGAAAGTCCATAATTGCAGTACATGAAATATTTCTAAGAGGGTATATTAATTGATGTTTTTCCTCTTCCACTTCAGCAAAAAGCACTTATTGTGCCAGGCCTCTTAACTTACCATTGTTTCAATCCGGCGCTCCTTTGATAATCTTTATTGTGGTATTAAAGACTGTGATCAGAAATGAGAAATCAATCATACCAATCTCATAACACTCATAACATTTAATATTCTATTTCTGCAAGTATGCACAGGTCTTTAAGACTCAGTTACATCGCTTTACAGCCACTCCCAATCCACCCCGATCCCTCAAAGACATTAAAATTAATACATTAATTGATTTATTAATTGAATAATCAAATAATTCATTCATTCATTCAATTGTTCATTCATTCATTTATTCATTTATTCATTCATTAACTTTTATAAAATGATAAAAAAAGGTTTCCTTTGTATTATTTTTTGAGTATTTTAATCAACATAATTATATTTTATTTACATATGTATGGACCGACATTGACCGAGTCAGAAAAGTAGCAATTGATATAGTTCCAGGATAAATAAAGCAATCTGTAGATTATAATAACGTTTTGCCATTTCTAGCAACTTATAAATTCCTTCACAACGCGCTACATCTTATATCACTTTAACATAAACTTTACGTAATTCTGTACAAATACATATTTAATACCATGATTTCTTTTGATATTGTCAAAATGTTTAATTAGATATTTTTGCTACTCTGTATATGTGCCCGCAGTCTACAAATAAGTAGATCCTTGTGATATTGAAATACTTCAGAATATCATTAGAAGTACGAATTGAAAGGGACACTATCGTAAAAATCGATTATTTGAAAGAAAGAAAAAACAAAAACAAAACAAATCAAAAAAACAATTACGTTTTCATAGAAGCCCTTTTTCTTCTCCCGTTCAATTTTTATACGTATTGCGAAACTCTCTACCCATAAAATTACGTTACCTATACAAACTCATTTTCCACTAAGCTTAACACTTTCGAAAATCTTATTTTATAGCCAACCACTACGCAAAGAATGCATAATTTATCTTGATAAAAGCTTGTCAAGTGGTTTGGTAATTAAATGATGATGAAAATCAATAGATTTAGTTCGTGTTTTGAAGCCGAGAATTATATTTAAATCTTTGTAGTCACAGCAACATTTTCTGTCAACAATTTTAGCTGGCAAGTGTCCTATCAAGGGACGTAGCTCTGGCTTTTATAGTAAATTTACTATAATTGAAAGTAAATAACCATTTCCATTTAAAAAAGTCTGGAGTACTTAAATTGGCAAATAGTATGCCGTATGAACACATATACGGATGTTTCTAAATTCAAAATTTCACCATTACCATGATTAAAGGTTGAATTCTGCTTAAGCCGGTGCTAGAGGGCGTGGACGGTAAATTGCACTTTTCCATCAAACCGAGCCTGCAACATTTTCAATTTTGTCTT